CGTCTGAGGTGGCTGTGGCGAAGTCTAATTATAGGCTTCACGCAGCTGCTTTGGCTCTATTTAAGGCTTTGGGTAAGGCTTTTTTGGGTTTTTTTTTGGGGTTTTTTTTGTTAAACGCGCACCTCAGAGCTGGGCGGGCCATTGCTCGCTGAGGGGTGCGGCGCTGGGCCTGAGGAGTGATCTCCCCTGCTCCCTGAAATCTGCGGCCTGCTGAGGTTAAAAATGCCGCCCTTCAGCGGCTCCTGCTTCCATCAGTCTTTTGATGCTGCTTACGGCAGTTTAGAAACGTCAGGCATCCAGGCCTAATGTTAAAAAGGGGGGAGCTGGTCTGTACCGGTGGGAGCTCCCACATTACTCCGATGTAAACGTATGTCATTTGAAAAAATGTTTAACTTGGGGTGGGGAGGGAAGCCTCCTGAGCCCCCTTGTATCCTCAAACAGCTGTGGTTTAAAGCCAAGCAAACTTTAAACAGAAAGTAGCTCCCTGTAGTGTTGTTTTAGAAGCGAATCTACTCAGTGACTTGAAATACAAAGCTTGCTTAACTGAGAGGTTCAGGGGGGCTCTGCTTGTTTTGCTTCCAGTTCTGAGCAGCTGTGCTTGGAACCCTGCAGCATGCTGTCTGCTTGATGTGGAGACCTCCGTTATTACCGTGCCTGTGTTATCACTGTTGAGCTTTCTCTCATTAGCACAAGCCTGGTAACTACGTTTTAGCACTGTCTGCCGTAGAATCGTTTAGTTTGGAAAAGACCTTTAAGATCTGAGCTATCTGTGGCTTGTTCTGAACCCTTAATTGTGGGTAAAGCATGAAGATTGCCCTTAGTTGTCTCTATTCTAGCCAGATATAATTGTGACTTACCTCAGATTGAAGGCTTAAGAGATCCAGTAGCTCTGCATATCATGGTGATCTCCTGTAGACTGTAGTGTTTTCATTGTTGTCTTCTTCTTGCAGAAATACAAATGGCTTTTCAGTCAAAGAAGCAGTGCATCAGCAAAACAGCAGATCTAGAGTTCAACAAAGATCCCAATTTTAACTTTAGCTCAAACGTTCCAGCAGATGGTGTCTTCAAAGCTACAAACCAAGGGTAAATGAAAGTAAAATATCAATGGATTTATTACTTGGCGAATGTCCCAAAGGTGGCTTTGTGTTTTGCAGATTTTGTCAAATTAACGTACCTGCTAATTTGCAAGAATGCAGTGGTCTCCTGGTAATTATATTTTACCCATCTTTTAAGGTTGCCTAAATCTACCAAGAAAGTGGAACCGCTTTCAAAGAAGACATCTGCAAGAGGGTACGTTTCCTCAAATTTCTATTAGTTGCCCTCATGCAGCAATGTTCCCTCTTGGAGGGTTATGATGAGCTCTTGCTCATGTACAGCTTTCTTGCCAAGTTTCCTGATTAAAGCTCTTGGTCAGAAACCAGAGCAAATGCTTCAAAATAGGCCACGTTTGTGGAAGTAAAAGAGAGGGTGCATAACACTGACATTTTTGCCCCTAAATCTTTGATGTTTGGCTCTACAGACCTCTCAACAGATACAAACTAGAAGCAGAGCTGAAGACCAAGAATCAGCTGTTAGAAACAGCCAAACAACAGCTACACTCCAGACTAACAGCAGCACAGGTAAGGAGAGCGGGGGGAGAAATAAATAAATCATTGAATAATTCCTATACCCTGGTCCCTGCAGGGTCAGATCAAAGGACTGTCTGGCTCATTTTTCTGTCTCCATCAGAAATTTGGGCGGGCTGGGTTTTCTTCTCTGACCCCTGTGGTATCTGCTAGAACCTGGAAATCAGTGGAGCTGCAGGTGTATTTGGATGGATAATGCATTCAGATCACTGTTAGCCCCTAACATACGGTAGATAAGTTATTCAATTTCCTTGTTCCTTTTGCCCAGTCTCTCCTAGCTTTGTTAACCCACCAGGTAGTGTGGTGTGGAAGTGCATACAGCACTGAAGATGCAGGCTCAGGAATGTGTGTGGTCTCATTTTGGTAACAAAAAACATTCTACTTGGATTTTGGTCACTGCACTAAGCTTGAGGGACAGTGACCGCATTATCTTCTGAGTATTTAACGCAGAGCTCAGTTTATATAGGCTTATGTTTCTTCATGTGCTGTTGTGTCATATTGTTGCCTAATCTTACAGTGTCTCTGTATTCTTCTGCAAATTTCTTCTTGTCTGCTCAGCACTGGTGAGACCAAACCTGGCATACTGTGTCCCTCTGGCCTCCTGGTAACAAGCGAGACATGGGCATAGTGGAGAGGGTCCTGCAAAGGGCCACTAAGATGATTCAGGGACTGGAGGAAAGGCTGAGAGAGCTGGGACTGTTCAGTGGATTCTGTCTCAAACAGATTTGACTTTTTCAAATCAAGTTCAGGTTCAGAATTGTCACCTCGTTATTTGCCACCTCCACAGATCACTGGAGGACACACTTAGCACAGCTGCTGTCATGTGCAAGAGGCCCTGCTGGTAACCTTCTGTTGTAAAAGCTCACTTTATTTCCTAGTTCTCAACCAGTTATAATCTGTGAGGTGATCGTCCCTCCTATCTCACAGCTTGATTTCTTTAAGAGCCTTTGTGAGACCTCCTATGAAATGTTCAAAAGGCTCCTGATGCTATCAGCTAGATCACCCTAATCCGCATGCTTATTGATTCTCTCGGAGAATTGCATTCAACCTGTGAGGTTGATCAGCTTATCGGATTGCCTGGTAATATCTGAACTGCGTAGGGAATAAGGCTGTGGCTTAAAGAGTCTAAGATGCTCTCTTCTTCCCAATGTTTATATGCTCTTCTGTGCATCAAACTCTTGAATTATTTATATATGAGAGGGAGCACAAGAAAAGATATGCTAGGATTACCTGAAAGGAATTAATCTCTAGGATCCATTTTTTCCTAGCAATGGCTATGACATGTGGATGTGATAAATGCATTTATCCTGTCAAGAAGCAGGAGTAAAGGTCTGCAACAGATTCATTGTGGTGGTAGAGTCGGAAGGGGAAGATCTGATTCTTGGTGCTAGTGGAGCACTTGCTTAGCCATTAGCATTGCTCTCGGTATTACTGACTAACGAGAAAGCAAATCTCCTTGGAGACTTGATTCACTTACAACCCATGTTAATGACAGGGCACTATAAAGGAGTTAAAGGAGGAGAACGAAGGCCTGGTACAAGAAGTTGAGAAGCTCAAGAAATTTCAGGAGACTTGCATGGTGATTTTAGAAAGCAGAAACATTGATCCTGGTAAGGACGATGCATTTCACGTGCCATTCTGGTACTCGTTCTTCAGAACACTTGTCTTTTTCTTTTCTTTTCCCTGTTGTGACTGTTCATAAGACATTTGGACTCTGCTCCCTTGCTAAGGAAATGCTGCTGTAACTCCAAGTTGGGGATTGTTTTGTTAGCTTAAAAGAAGCTGCTTCCTGTAATAGGCCCCGTCCTCGATAAACTTGGAAAATAATTCAGTCTTGTAGAAATTTACTCTGAAAAGCTGTTGGTTCTTACATGCCAAGTTATCTGTCTATTAGAGGTTCACTAATGCATCTCCTAAATTAGTTACAGGCAGCAACATTTTGGAGGAGGAAGA